AAAAGAATAATAAATTTAATAAGGATATTTAAAAAAAAGAAAGAAAGAAAAGAAATTAGAATAAAATAAAAAATAATTAAGATTGATATGAAAATTAGAGATGTAAGGAATGAAAAAGAAAGAACAATATAACAGAAAATAAATTACTGATATCTAGGAAAAAAAGGTAAATGTAGGGTATAAAGATAAATATAATAATAAAATATGAGAGGTGGAATTTAAAAGATGAAATCACAAGAAAAAATAATGAGAGAGGTGGAGTAAATGTTGTAGAAAAATATTTAGAGAATAATGTGAAGAACTTGTGCCATTTATATTTAACCTAAAATATTTATAATATGAAGGGTAGAGAAAGAGATATTATGATAAAAGAGAAATATATAATAATTAATGAAGGTGTGAGCAAATGGTAATAACTAAGAAAAAATAATAGTGACAAAAGAATAATGGGAGAAAAAATAATAATAAATACAATACCAATAGATAGAGGGAAAAAGAGGGAATATAGGGTAAACAAATAAACATAACGATAAAGATGTGATGGAGGGGCTAAGAGATGGAGTTCTAAAAAAATTTAAAAAGAGATAAAGTAAATATAAATGTAAAAGTACCAAATAATAATTCTAATAAATTAGGTGTTTTATATTTTGACTCAAAATATTTGTAAGTATAGACAATTAATCGAAGAAAAATTGGGGTAAAAAAAAATAATTACATTGGCAATGATTAATTAGAATAAAACAAGATCAAAGGAAGAAGTGGGGAAAAAAACTAATAGTATAAAAATTATTAATATATTGAGAGTCAATGTGACATTAAATGTAAAGTAGATATAAATATAATGATGAAATGGGAGGGGGTAAACTAAGTGATGGAGTCCTAGAAGCAATTAATGAAAGGTCAAGACGTGAAGTAATAATAAGTGAAAAAGTGTAAAGAAATAATATTAAGAAGCTCTATTTTTTATATTTAGACTAAGAACTTTTTAATTACAATCTCCATGCATGAATAATCAAGAGAAAAGAAAAGGTTGTGGATGATAATCAAAAAGGGTGTTGCATCTTGACAAGCAGGGAGATATAGGTCGAATAGAATTTGAACATTTGTTGCTCAATGAGTTGATGTAAGAAAAAGCAAAATGAAGAAATATGAGGAGATATATCAACATAAAATATTAGGAATAGAAAGTACAAAAAGAAAGAAAACATAGGAAGGATAGGGGGATAGAAAATAGAGATGGAAAAAGATGCGGAAATGTTAGCAGACGTACCTACACAATATAGGAAAGTAAATGTGAAATTAAAGAAAAAAAATTAATGATATAACGTGGGGAAAATCATTTCATGCATGACAAAGGATGAGTGTAGATGTTAAAACTTATTGGATTAATGTGTTTTAAGGCATGTTCTACTTAATTACATAAAGTCAAACATTAGTTTTACTAAACTAATAAGTAGTAAATTAATTAAGTGTTAATCTCCCAATTACATGAAAATTGATAAAATTTGAGATTGTCATATCATTGAACAAAAAGTAGATTTTTCACCATATATAGATCTTTTATTTTATTAAGTACACATGAGGTTAATAACATTAATTTAGAATAATTATTTAAAATTAACATTATAATAATTAATAATTACCATAAAAAGTGAATGTAAATGAATCACATATATTGTTGATATGGCACTTAGTTTGCATAAAAATACATAAGAGGTAATTTCATTTTCAATACCAACAACACGTGCACGATTTTAATCGAGTGATTAATAAAATTAAAATAAATTTTTATTTTTTTATAATAATTAATAAAAAAAGTATCACTAATTGTTTATACCACATTTAACAATTTTCTTTACGATGCCACATGTCCTTAATGTAGATTTAATGGCCATAATTTTTTTGCATACAATTGAGAATTCAAAAGATGATCAATGGTCATGATTTGGTGCGATGCAGTCCTCGGTAAGGAGAAATTATGTTGGAGTAAAATTCTGACAAGTGGTAGAAGATTAATTATGCTAGAGCCCGATGGAGTTTAAGTCCAAGTAAGGATCCACAAAATTAGAAAAGTTGCTGATATGTTGCTTAGTTGTTCAGTTTATTCTAAGGATTTCTAGTAGTTAGAAATCTATTTTTGGCAACTAAAATAATAAGTAGTAGAAGTCTGTTTTGCAAGGAATGATTTAAAGTTGTTGAGATTCTTTTTGATTTGGTCAAGTTTGATAACACGAAAATTGGAGAAAATTATGATCAGATCTGTTTTCTGGCAAACAAATTCAATTATGAAGACAAATAAATTCACGACTTCAAGAGAAAGTGCAATAGGCCGGTCCCTCTCAACAACATCATCACTTCAACATGTCTTAGTCCAGCATTAATTTAGTTCATGGATAGCTTGCATGACGACCTTATAACTTTTTTTTAGTGTAGAAGAAGTTTAACTCCCTCAACAGGTTCTTTGTTTTCATCATTTTTTTGGTAAAGTTAGCTCCAGATTTAATATAGTTGTTCTTCTTTTGCTAGCATATTTCACAATTTTGTCTAGTTGTTAAGCTTTAGATTTCACTTTATTAGTAAATTTATGTTTCAGCCTTTAGTTGTGATTAATTTGTTTCAAGTAAAGATCTTAGTTTCCTTTTATTTAGGTTGGTAGCTAGTTCTGTATGTTTCTAGTAGCTTCAATTTACATTTTTACTAGTACTTTTAGTTTTCAATTTTAATTAAGTTTTGAGATTTTTGTTGTACTCTTTAGTTTAATGTTCTCTTGTTACTTTAGTTTTAGATCATCCTTTATTTCTTCCATGCACTCTTTTTTCCCTCTTTCTTATTTTTGCCTATTTTGCTTAATAAACTAATTTCATTGACCCTAGATGTGGGAAGTCCTTGATGTTTTTCCAGTGCAATTATTTTTAAACCTTCATGCAACAATGCACCCTATTTCTACTATAGTTGTTTGGTCAATGTATTATTGGCAAAATAATTCAATCAATAATGTTCTTTCCTAAACTTTTAACTAAGTTCCTATGCTTGGAAGAAGTAAGGGTTGTTAGAAATCCTTCTTTTTTGTTTTTAGCAAAGCAAGTAAACCTGGCAAATGAGCAGGTTGAGTTTGGGTTGGGTCTGCATGGGTTACGAGATAAGCAGGTTGGATCACTAATGGATGACGAGTTTATGAAGACCAACCCTAACCCAACCTTTGCAGGTTACGAGTTAACCTGTGGGTTAACATTTTTTTTCATTTATCACAGTTTGAACTATAGTTTCTAGCTCATGAATATATTCTTTCCTTAAGATTATACATATAGCACATGCAATATAAAAGATAAAATCATATTTTGGCAGTGATTAAAAAAAAAAATCCCAAATGTCAAGTATTGCATCTTATTATCAATTTTAACACAGTGAACATTCAAATTACAACAAGATCATAAAGCATAATATCATAAATCCTAACATCATAAGTCTTAAAATTAAAGCAAGATCATAAGTCAAATAAGTCATAATATCACAACTCATAACAATACCTTATCTAACAATACCAAACTATCATTCAAGAAAAAAAATAATAATAGTACCAAACTTGAATTTTTAAAATTTCATGAAATATAAAGTTTGAACTTTGAAGTCACTAGTTTGAAACCACATAATCTCCAATCCAAGTGTTGAAACTTCTCCTTAAGATAATATTTCCATTCCAAGCTCACTAGTCACTAGGAATAGTAGAACTTCCATTAAATTGATATTCATAGCCTAGCACCTCATCTTTAGCATGACCAATAACAATGTTGTCACCTAATTAATGATGAACAAACACTGAAAATAATTTCAAAAGCATATTCCAAAATCAAGGTTGGTTCATCCATAAAAAAAAAAAGAGAGTAGATTAGCCACTATTTTAATTTAATTGAAAACCATATAGAACCATATAGACATTCATGAATTATGATTAACCACTACTTCAACTTAATTTATTCTATTTTTGTCTTTTCTTTATACCAATCCCACATGCGTGCCAACAATATTCTATAGAGGCAGAAAGATTAAGGAAAATATATCTTTCTTTTCTAACAATACCAAACAGAAAAAATTCAAGAATCGAAGACTTCAATTGTAGCCAATCAATTCATAAATGATAGATTCAAATCACACAATCAATTACTATTATTATTTTTGCACAACAAATCACATAATCAATGAAATATATAGCAAATACCAAGACAAAATAGTAAAGTTAAAATATTAAAAACCTTCATGTTAGCTTCCTTTTGAAATCCATTCAACCAAATGCGTGTTCTTATCAATGCCTCTACATTTTCTGGTAAAAGAGAACCTCTCAATTTTGTCAAGACATGCCCACCCATGTTGAAAGTAGATTCACTAGCTACGGTTGTAATTGGGATAAAGAGAATGTCTCTTGCTATTCTAGCCAAGTTTGGAAGATGCTTTTTATTTTGTTTCCAAAACTCAAGGATATCTAAAGGTTGTCGGTATGATTGCCTACCTTTCTCCAAGTATTGAAGTAATTGAGAGGAGTGCACTTTTTCCATATCAAAATTTTCAAAGCCCTACATAAAGGTGAGAAGAAACAAATTATTTAGAGTAAAATGAATTAAGTTAAAATAGTTTGAGAAAATTGAAGAAAGTTTAAAAACAAAACAATTATTATCTCCATTAATTGATCTTTATTACCAATAGCTTCAATCTCAGTAGTTGTAGGCATTATGGCTTTGTTTGTACTTTTCAACTTGTCGCCTTCCATTACATATTCATTGTAAAGTTGATACAATTTACCAATAACATGATTGACCTTGGCAGTATATGTTTCCCCATTTAGCATCTTGTAACAATATGTCACAAAAGATAACTTACAACAAGGATCTAAAATTATGTCAAAAGCAAGAACAAGGCTATAAGAATCCTAGTACTTCTCAAATTTGGCCTTGATGTTGGTTGCCATGTCTTTGATATAAATATGCCCACACTTGATATTCTCCAACAAGCACAACTCAATCTTCCAAACATGCTTAAAGTATAAATTTGATGTTTGATATTTTGATCCAGAAAATAAAGTGCTGATTTCACTAAAAGATTGTAAAAGTTCACAAATTCTACCAACCCACTTCCATTCTTCTTCATCCAAGGTCCATTTAAAACTTTCATCATCCAATTCAAAAAGAAGCAAAAGCATCTTTATAGATTATTGCCCTCTCAAGCATGTTAGGTGTGGAATTCCACCTAGTAGGACAATCTAACCATAATCCGTTAAATCACAACTACCTCATTTAGCACATTCTTCAAAATTTAATATCCTTCCTATAGTAGTTATATACTTTATTCCATCCCTCAATTTTCTAACACTATCGTCAATCACTTTCAATCCTTCTTGCACAATTAAATTCAAAATATGAGCAAAACATCGAATATGGAAATAATCTCCATTAGACAACAATGGCCTTTCAAGATTGAGCTGATTACACAAAGCTTCTTGCATGTTATCATTACCCCTAGCATTGTCTAAAGTGATTGAAAACATTTTACTTTCAATGCCCCACTCTTTTACCAACTCACACACTTGTTTAAACAAAATTCTAGCTGTGTGTGAAGGTAGGATATGCAAAAAACTCAAAATCAAGCTATGTAAATTCCATTCATCATAAAGAAAGTGAGTAGTCAAACAAAGATAACCCTAAGTAAATGTAGAAGTACACGTCACATGTTAAACATATTCTTCTTGAAACATTTTTTAACAACTACTTAATTCTATCTCTGTCCCTTTGATGAATTTTCAAGCAACAATTTTTCATAGTATTTCTACAAATTAGCTTTACATCCTTATTTAGGTACTTTATTAATGATCTAACAGCCTTATGCTCAACCCATGAAAAAGGTTGTGAATGCTCTATTACTACTAGTGCACACAACTCCTTAAAAGCTTCTTGATCAATTTTTCTAACCAATTTTCCAAAGTTACTTAATGGGTGGAAGGCCCCCCTCTCACATTGCTACATTATTTTTATTTTTTCAATTTTTCCCTTCAAGTTTCCTCACTCAATTTCACAAGTCATGAGTGAATTTTTTGTCATTTGATATTGCGTTTCCACTTTTGCCCTCAAAACTTTGTTTATCCATTTCACATGTTATGGGGGCATGTTTGTTATTTTGTGACCTCTCCGTTTTGCCCTCAGGGCTTTGTTTCTCTTTTTCTCTTGGAGTATGGCTTTTAAGTCTTTTTACTCTTCTTGTTTTTGTAGTGTCTATGTTGATCTATATCTTTTTCTGCATTTCGGCATTTGATTGATTCTCGCAAAATCTGATCTGTGGTCCTCAATCATCAAGAGGGAAAGTTGACTTCTACGATTTAAGCTAACTTTTGGTGTTTTGGTTTGTTTACTTTACTAAGATTTGAGCACCAAACCTTCCATCTCTTTTCGGGTTTTAGATATGATGATTTCCCATCTCTTGCTCATTTCTCTCATCTCAATCACATTTCCTTTCTTGTGGCCAACGGTAGAGGAAGATTGTGAAAGGGGTTAAATGAAGAGAGAAGAAACAAGTAGGTGGATCAACTGTGATTAGATCTGGGCGTAGGAGTTTGACGAGGAAAATTTTGAGTGATGAGGCAAGGTTAGAGGTGAGAAGAGGAGATGAGAAAAGGGAAGAGACAACATGGATGGGCAATGGGTCACAAATGGAGAAAAAATTGGAAGAGGAAGATCGTGGGTTCAAGAAGGCTAGTCATAACTAAGGAAGAGAAAAAGAAAGAGACTTGGTGGTGGTTGATTTTCCAAATTTGAGTTTGTTAGGTAAAACTCTTTTTTTTTTTTTTAATCTTTTTTTCTTTGAAATTTTTATAATATATAGATTCTGTGGTGGAGAAGCTTGCTTATGGCAATGATTGGGTGCTTTTTTTTGGCAGAAGGAGAAGAGGCCTTAAACTCCTCACAGAAGTTGATGTGTCAATCCAGCACTTCCTTGGTGGAGATGGTCATGTGGGATCTCTACATAATGTCCTTGATGACCTCGACACAGAGGCCGCAAATTCAGCATCCCTGGTAATGTTCCTGGTTGCGGAGGATGTCCTTAGTGACGCGGCAGCAATGGCATTTGATGGATTGGATTTTGGTGGGAGGAGTGACATTAGTTGATGGAGGTTGAGTCTCTGAGCTAGCGAATGCCATGGCTTGAGATAGAACATTGGAGATTGGTGGTAACATGGTTTGAAATGATTGAGTTTTTAAATTAAAAATCATCTAGGAAGAATAGAAAAACAAATGTGTTTGCACAAAATTATTAGTTAAATTTTCATTCCTTAGACATATTTGTTTTGTTTATGATTAAAAGCTATGATATGGGTTTCTTTAGATACTATTTAGATTAGTAAAATTCATATAATCAAGAGTTACTAATAATGTAATTTTTATTTATTTTGTTGTAGTATTACTCTTTCATACTCTATCTTATTATTAGTATATATTGAATATTTTCTAGCAAATAAAAGGTTGATGACAAGGTAAGTGATAGCTGGAATAGTTGTCATTCTGGCAAGGATGATAGTGGAGGAGAAAAATAAGTTAGATTTGTCGATTTTGTTGGTGATTTTCTAATTTTTCTCCTTCACTAGCTCAGAAACAAAATCTACTCACAACTTAACTGGACTGGGCACCTTCTATTTTACTCTCATCTTTCTTTTAACACAAAATTTCTTATTATCATTATTTCCCTTATAAGGTGGGTTATAAGCATGAGGGAGGTGAAGAGTAAGGGGTGATTTGGTGAAGAAAAATGATTAGTAGACCTGTCAGCTGTCAGGCAAATATCTCACTTGCTTTTTAGTCCAAATTTTGTTCCTTTATGATGGGTCTATTAGATTATTAACTAGCAAAAAGATTGTGCATGTTTACAGAAGATGGAGTTGGATGAAGTAATTAGAGTAAAGAGAAGGGGTGTTTTATTTGATTTGTTGAGAGGTTTGTTATGGGCTTTGTTGAAACAAGGAGAAGATTCAATTAGCTTCTTTTTTTTTTTTTTTGGGTTTATTAATGACCCCTATTTCTTTTTTTTCTCTCTCTACTATATGTTTTATATCTCTCATGTTTTCTTGTCCTTTTGGATTTACACTGTTGTTCTAGGTTGTAAGATTTTCTCTTTTCTTTCACCTATATTTGACATATTTTTAGTCAAGTTTTATACGAGAAGAAAATATTAATACTTTGATAAGAATTGACTATAATAGAAGATTTAAATTTAGTTGAATCTAGACTGCTTTTGTTTTCTCAATCTGATTCTTTGCTTTTATTGGTGGATATTATTTACCATTTAAAACCCAATAGACACCCAACCAGGGTAAGCAAGTTAATTGGTAAATGGAGACACATAGTAGAGAAAAAGATTGAGCAGATTAAGAGTTCAATACAGTTAAATGAAGCTGTTGTGACTACAAATGCAGATGGTATGTCTTTTTCTTTTTCTTTTTCTTTTTTTTCCCAAATGATGCACCCATCATCGAACTATACCATAGGATATTAACTGTGTTCTACAGGATGAGGAAGGTCAGAATTTAAGGGGAAAATGTTCACAAGATTGCGAAAGTGATTTTGTTTCCACTCTTTTGGATTTTTACTTTGTTAAATCTCATAAACACTGTCAACTTAAATGATATGTCATGGTTGATGAAACTTAATTGGTAAATAGAAACTAATTACAAGATTTAAAAAGTCTCAATATATATATTATAATATTGAGTTCTATTTGATTGAGGTGAAACCTATGAAGTGTCCATATAATATATTATTTTTTTCTTTTGGTTATATTATGTCACAATTTATTTGGAATGTTGACCCATGAGGTCACAATAGAAACATTCAAAGTTGGACCTAACACCACAACCTGCAACATGGGGTTGTGCAACAGATTAGAGAAGAAGCAGGATCTTGGTGAACATTCTTTTATATACTATTAGACATATATAACCATTAAAGTAAAGCCTTTTTTAAATTCATTCTTCAAATTACAGAGATTTGGAGGAATCACTAGTGGTAGCAGACACTCAAAATACTGAAAATTATTCATTGAACCAAGGTAAATCTGGTCATGCTGTGAGTCAAGGTGAATTTGGTCATGCTGTTCAAACATTGTTGATGAACAAAACAATTTAAGGTATTCAACTACAATAGCTTTAAAAAAAAAAATGAAAGAAAGGTGTTTTACTAATGAATATTAACATGTTTATGTGCTTTTTAGGACAATTTATGGCTTAATTAAAAAATTAGTCTATTAACTATCAACTTGATTTCATTTTAGTCTAGAAAGTATGTTTTATTTCTAAGTGGTCTATAAACTTTGGAAAATATTTCATAATCGTCTACCGTACAAGATTATCGTTAGTTTTAACGGAAAAATGAAGTTAGAATTAAAATAAACAGTTCTTTAAGTTTTAAAAAAGTAATACTATAATCCCAATAAAATATAATGAATCAAGGAATACTCTATAGAGATAGATTAGTTAGAATTTGTGATGAAATTGAGCAACTAGCTCAATTCAAAGAGAGAAACCTAGCGAACTTAGAAAGAAAAGCTCTAGAAGATTGAAAGTACAATAAGAATTAGAACTCTTAATTACAAAATAAGAACAGAAAGAGAAAGAATAAATACATTAAGAAATATTATTAATACACTTCTATCAACATGAGCAATGAACAAATAAATCAAATTAACATGTATTTACAAAAGATACAATTAGCATAAATAATATTATAAAATAGAAACAATTAATGAAAATACCCTAAGAAGAATTAAAGAAATGAGAAAATCCCTTTCTTAAGAATTTGATTATATTAAGGAAAGAATAAATAATGTCAAAAACTCTAGAAATTTGAAAGAAATAAAAAAAGAAATAAGGTTTATTAAAGACTCAAAGACTCTGATATTTTGAGTAAGAGAGATAGAAATCAAAATAGAAGAAATTTTCAAAATATTAAAAGTAGTCGCTGAAAAATTTGCAATAAAAGCTTAAAAATGTATAACAAAATAATTCCACAAATAGAAAATGATATAGATAAAAATTTTTATAAAATCCAAACACAACTTAAGGATATACAAGATACTATAATATTAGTTTGTAGTAGGTGAAATATTATAGATAGAAATGAAGGCTTTAAAATAATCCCAAAAATTTTCACGGAAAAACTTAAATCAAAAGGGATAACACTTTTCATGTTAAAAATCCAAGAAGAAAAGTTGAAAGAACTTGAACAAAAATTCTTAGAAGAAGAAAATGTAGAAGAACTAGATAATTTGTGCAGACAGATTACTATAACTATTAAACAATTAGAAAATATGAAAATGAATACTCAAAAGGAGGAAATAGAAGAGGAAAGTGAAGAAAAGGATGAGACACATCCTAATATAACCCCAACAGAATTTCCAGTGCCACATGGAGTAAAATCCAGCATAAGCCAAAGCTATAGATAGACCTGGCAAAATTGGACCCAATCCAAAAATCCGACCGAACCCATCCGTAATGGGTAGGGTCATGGTCCTATGTGTTAATGCGAAATCCAAAATGACTCGGACCAATATTATTCAAACTCAAATGGGTTGGGTCATGGGTGGGTCAAGTCGCCCGAAATGACCCGAACTTTTTTTTATTCATTTTTTATTAGATTACTTAAAAATTAATTTTAAATTTCTAATTTTCTAATCTTAAAAATAAAAATAAATAAAATACTCAAACCCTAATCTCTTATCAATTTCACTTTCTCTCAACTTTTCCTCTTCTCTTGTCTAGCTTTCCCCTTCTTCATCTTAAGCTCTCTAATCCTTCTCTTTGGTGGCACTTGCGTAAAAAATTAGATTAGGTGGCACATAATGAGTTATGTTATATGACATCATAAAAAAATCATTTTAAAAAAAAATAAAAAGCAAGAATACTTACTGAAAATCAAAACCTAGTGGTTAAGGTACCCTTATAACCATTAGAAGTACAAGAACAAGAACATAAGAACATCAAAGTCTGTTCTTAGTTGCTAATTTGTTCTTAATTAATAATTTGTTCCTAATTAATAAAAATCAATTCTGATCCAACTTTTTCTTGCATTTGGTTTGACATATTTTGGATTTACCTTTTAAACTTTAACATTAAATAAGGCTATATTTTTTTGTATAATGCCCTCCTAAATATTGAATAGAGCTGTATTTTCTGTATAATACTCTTATAAATATTGAATAGGCACTAGATATTAATATATATATTGGATTTGTCTTTTGAACTTTAATTATTCATGTCTCTTCGTTTAATGAAGGTTAATATCTTTATCAAATTATGAATTCTAAATATTGTATAAGTATTATATATTTGACATATATTTTAGTTCCACCTATATAATCACTAATCTTTTCCTTTTCTTTTCTTGAGATGGGAAAAAAATTGAATTATGAAATGAAAATTAACATTTAATAAGTTTTTTAACTAAATAGTTAATTAGTAATCAAGTTTTTTTAACTAAATAGTTAATTAGTATTGTATTTTGTTAAAGAAAAATAGAGAAAAATACAGAAAAATTTTAATTTTAATTTTAATTTCTTAAAAGTTGGGTCCACCCAACCCAATCCAAGACCCGTGTGGGTGGGTCATGGGTTATGGGTCAACCTCCTTAACCCGACACCTGAAATGACTCAATCCGAACAACTCGAGATCCGAAATGACCCAATCCGAACCCACCCAATCCGACCTGTTTGCCAGGTCTAGCTATAGAAAAAATAGAAATCTAACACATAAAGTGATATATGATAAAAAGAGTAAAAGATTTGAGAATCAATCTAGACTTGAAACACTAATAAGAATCAAAGAACAGATAATTAGTACTAACGGTATTTGGCTAGATCTAGATTGTGTTACTGACCCAGAGAAGGTCATTAGTGACTGGGCCCAAGCTACTTGGATAGTCGTAGCAAACAAAAATTAGAATGCCTTACAAACAGTTAGATTTATTGAAGTCACCTTTAAAGGGATAGTTCATGACTGGTTTGCTGGTCTAAATGAAGAAGACAGTAATGTTATTATAAGTGGAAATCTTGCTTCAGAAAAAGTTAATGAAAATGAAGCAATTCAAGACATAATAAATAGGTTTGAATCAGCTATTAGGAGAGAATTCTTAGGAGAAAATTAAGAAGAAAATCAAGGAAAAGAGGAGGCCAGAATTGGAAGAATAGCAATGTGGGATTTGCAAAATTTAGAATTATGTAATCTCTGTGAATTAGATTAATACATTTGTCTATTTCAGAAATACTATTATAAAACTTCAAATCATGGAATGACTAAAGGAATCATGGAATGACTAAAGGCCTCATGGAATTGTTTTTTGGAAAAATTCCTAATCCTTGGGGAATAAAATTGGCAGAAGCCTATAGAATATATGTAGAAGATAAGAAAGATACTTTAGAGTTAAGGATTTGGTTCGTTAAAACCAAAATTAATGAATGGTACCTAAGAACCTATAGCCAGAACAAACTAAGAAAAAGTATGAAAAATGGACTATGTTGTCCTAAGAATAATGATCCAATCAAGTTAGGATGTAGTTACACCAACTACAACAAGAGAAATAAGAAATTTAGAATTAAGAGAAGTAATAAACAAAGGTTTAATAAGCACAAATTTTTTAGAAAGAAAAAGAGGTATTTTAAGAAAACCAAAACATCAAAAAAGTATAAAAAGAATCCTAAAAAATGCACATGTTGATTGTGTAAAGAAGAAGGGCATTATGCAAATGAATGTCCTAAAAGGTACAAAAGAGAAAATACTAAAAATCTAAAAATTTATGAAGAAGAACTAAGTGAAATAGATGCTAGCTCTATAAGTAACGAAGAAAGTATATATGAAGTGAAAAGTTTATATACCTCTAGTAGTGACGAATCAGAATATTGAAGAAGGAGAAGCTTATTCTGAAGAATATGGAGGACATGGAGAACATAGTCAAATAACTGTATTCGATAAAAGTAAATATAAAAGAATTAGACAAAAGAGAATGGACCTTGCTTTAGAAAAAGGATTCAAACCAAATTCCTTTATAAGTAATCCATTTAAGAGAAAAGATATGGTTTATTACGGAATATCCACTAAAGAATATAGCATTCCTATCAAGAATACAACGAGAATAATAAATATACCTTTGATTATCAAGGCATAAATAGAAAGCAAACTATCAAAAATCAAAGAAGCTGATAGATCAAGGATAGGTTTTATCCACATTGGAGGAATACAAATACTTATTAAGCTCATTTTAAAGGAATAGACACCCCAATAAAATTAGCTCTAATAGATAATAGAATCAATGATAAAAAGGATGATATTCTTGGATTAGTGCAAGGTAACCTTAGTTACCAGAAACTTATGTTTACAGTATATCCAAAATACGCTGTAAACATTAATAATAGAAATATTAATAAAACCTTAAGTTTAGCACATGAATTTGCTAGAGAAAACTTTATGAAAGATGGATCAATGCCATATGGTATATACTATTTGATAAGTTACTCATTGACTAATAGTCATCAATCTAATCTTTTTAAAGATAAAGAATATATTGAATTAGATCCTATGTTCTCTAAAATAGGACAAATTCAAAAACTCGAAATAATTACTCAAATAGAATTACCCAAAGAATGGGAAATAGACATTAGTGAAAAACCACTCGTAATAGGAGAAAGAGAAATGCCTAGACTAATGGCATATGAGTCAGGAAAATTATTAGTCAAAATAGAACCTGAATCAAGCCATAGAAATAGTGTAGACTTAGGAGTTATACGCTATCCTAAGAAAGATATGTTGACTCAATGTACTCCAAGAGGGGGGGTGAATTGGAGTTCCAAAAATTCTCCTCTTTTTGCAACCACAAACCCAAAATTAAAGAAAGAGTAGGGAAGAAGAGCTTGCACAATGATTTTATAGAGGTTCAGTCCAACCACTTGGAACCTAGTCCTCTACCTTGGCTTCACTCACCAAGGATTTCCTCCACACTCTCCACTAACAAAATCAAGGGTGGCTTAAAGGAGCCACTCAATCCTTTTACAAGAAGAAGGGTGTTTCTCTCAAAACTCACCCCTTTACAAGATAAACCCCAAGAATCCTCTCTACATATTACTCTTGAAGGATTAATCACACCCGCAAGATCACTGACAAATAGAATAAGAAGAGGATTATAAGTAAAGATCTCTCAAAGATCAAAAACTCAAGTTAAAGCTCATGTAGGTAGGTAAAGATATTCAATACAATACTCTCTAAACTTCTTCAGATCTGTTACCAACCATATTTATAGGCCCTTGCTCGAAAATAGTCGTTTCTAACCGTTGGGGGTCATTAAATGCTCTCCATGACGCAAAGGTCGAGTTGCAAGATTGTTAGGAAAACCGACTTTGCACAGCCGGCTCACCATTTCTGCAGCCGACTTTGCGGGATTTTGTACATTCTATTTTCTATGTAGAGCCGGTTGCAAAACGCAAAGCCAGCTTTGCGGGTTTGCTGCACATTCTATTTTCTTCCACAACTGGCTGCAAAGTTGGAGCCGGCTTTGCATCTTTTCTCCGCGTGCGCCAAACAACAAACCTTTAAATCTTTACCCATAGAGCCGGTTGCAGCTTCCAGAGCCAACTCTCTGCACTTCCATTTCACCAGAGCTGGCTGCAGCTTTCAAGAGCCAGCTCTCTACACATACTCAAGCCTTTCTGGTCCATTTTTAAGTGCAGTCCAAGTTTACTTATTTTGCAATCTTTTGGAATTTAAACTACATACTTAAATGAACCAATTAGTCACTCAAATGTGTTTTGTAATCATCAAAATCATAGGTACAACAATCTCCCCCTTTTTGATGATGACAAAACACTTTGAAAATAAATTAATGAAAGCACATATATATTTCAATGAGAGCTCATATGGAAACAGAAATTTCAGCATACTTTCTCTCCTTTTTTGTCATCCATCAAAAAGCATATAAGCATAATCAACAAACTCCCCCTTAATTCATGCATACAACCTTTAAAACATAAAAAATATGTGATTTAAGCACAATATCCACAAATTGCTCCCCCTCAATGAAAGCATTTAATATCATAATCATCAAAATAATAGGCAATCACCAAGTCATATACAATTAAAACCCACAATTTATGATAATAAGCTAAGAAGTGTGCATAGATAATGAGGGCAAATTTTGGGAGAGAATCAAATCTTGAATGTGAAGAGAGGAAAATGGGCAAATATTAAAAATCTATCACAATCAAAAGGCTTTGTAGTAAACAAAGATATCTCATTCCAAGCAACTATGAAGGTCAAAAAAATTCTTTCTCTCCTTTTTGTTATCCAACAAAAAAAGTTTGAAGACCATATGAAGAGCAAACAATAGAGCTCCCCCTTAATAAAATGACTCATGAAAACATGAACATACTTATATAACAATGTCATTAGTAGCACCAAAAACAATGTTAATGCTATCATTAAGTACAACATGTATATTTCTTACCTTTGAGATATATTATCATTTATCACATTACCTTTATAAGATCTCTCTTTTGGGTAGAATTATAACTTTTGTTTTTGTGCTTGTTGCATCTCCTCAATCTTATTCTTTTCATTTGCTTCACATGGAGGTTGTGTGATGCTATTGCCTTCAATGTTCATTCTTATCTTTGTTACCCAATAACATCTACATCACAATTTCACAACTCTTTCTAGAGCAAATGGGGTTAGTCTCATTGAATACCACATGAATAGATTCAACACTATTACTCCTTTTTATATGCATCGTATCATATGATAGCAAATATCAAAAATTTTATTCATTGAAATCAACTATGACAATGCAAGCATTCAAGTGCATGACATACACTTGCACATAATCAAATATCATCAAAATCATCCATCAAAAAGCAAACATACAAATTTCCTAATATACTTAACTTCCAAGTGTAAGACTCTTCCTAAGATCATGCTTAACTTCCAAGTGCTATCATTAAAATTATGAAAAAAATGAGACAAGTAAATTTGAATGAGACAAACAATGCAAAATAAGACAAGTTATTAAAATTACTCATTTAAATCAAATCATCAACCATCTTCAAAGTGACACATATGACATTGAAAATCACTTATACCATCAAGAGCTCATTATGAACTATATATGATAGATAATCAATCTAATCATTCACATATGTCAAGTATGTAAATATGATACAAGAAATATCTATAGCAATCAACAAGGTTGTATCAACACTAAAAAAGACACATCAAATGAAATCATACTCAACAAGCATATGTATCAAAGAGTGAGCACACATAAACAAATAATTAATAGTCATGTTAATGTAATTATACTCAATGAATAAATGCAAAAAGATAAATAATACCAATTGAACACATGAGTGGAGCATTCAAAAAACAAATCTTTACACTTTCTCTCCAACATTCTTGTTGAGGCATAAGTTTTTATCAATATCAACTTTACTCTTCTTATGACTTTGCCATCAACTTTACCTACAAAACAAAATTAAGTTTTGATTTTTGGTACCCAAATTTGCTTGGGTCCATGGGGGTTAGTGCTTAAAGTTCCTTTTGGAACCCAAATTTGCTTCACTTTACCTAGAGCTATCAATCTCTTCAAAGGACATATATAGGCAAAGTGTCCCTTTGCACCACAACAATAGCAATTAACATTAAGATAAGAGGATCGACTAGCTCTTACAAAAGAATTCTTAAAAGTCTTTTGCTTGTTAGAATAATCAAATCCAATGCCCCCTTTGTCATAAATACTTCTTTGAGATTTTAAGATAGAATCAAATTTTTCTTACTCAAGGTAAATTTGGAAATCACATTCTCAAGATCACAAGCTTTTCTCTTTAAAACCTCATTTTCCTTGTTCAAATCCTCATTTTCCTTCTTTGCATCCTCATTTTCCTTTTTCAAAGCATTATTAGACTCCTCATTCTTTAAAGATGCAATTTCACATTTAAAGAGGCATTTTCTTTAAATAAAACCTCATTTTGTTTTGAAAGAGATACAATCCTATTTTTAAGCAATGAAATGGTTTTAGTAAGAGCAAGATTCTCATTCCCTAGTTTCTTGATATCATTCATAGAGCAATCAAGAACTTTGCATAAATCATCATAAGAATACTCAAAGGAACTTTCATTAATTGAACTAGAGAAGTTAGAGTTTACCTCCTCATCATTGTTGTTATGCCCTTGAGCCATGAAGCAAAGATTTGCAATACCATTCTCCAAGGAGCTTTCACTTTCCGTTGAGCTGCATTCATCATTGCTCCATGTGGCAAGAAATGCTTTGTTTTTCTTGCCTTTCTTCAATTTGGGGCATTCATCTCTATAGTGTCCCATCTCATTACACTTATAACATTTGATATGCTTCTTGCTTGACTTTCCTCTATCATCATCACTACTACATATTCTTCCTCTAAAGTAGTGAATTTCCTTGTTTCTTCTAGAGGATTTCCCTTTGAGGCTCTTCTTCATATATTTCTTCACTTCTTTTGAAACCAATTTGGTGATGTCCTCCTCATGCCTAGACTCATCATCACTTGCATCATCTTCACTTTCTTCTTTTTGTTTGCTAGCCTTGAATGCAACATCCTTCTTCTTCTCAACTACTTCAACTCCACTATCAACTTGAACTTCTATCTCATATGTCATCAATTTTCCAATTAGATCTTCAAGCTTGAGAGTGTTGAGATCCTTAGACTCTTCAATTGCGGTCTTCTTGGCTTCCCAATTCTTAGGCAAACTTCTAAGAACCTTCCTCACCACTTATTGAGAAAGATAAACTTTACCAAGAGCCTTGAGATTGGTGACTATATCATTCAACCTTGTATACATATCTTGAATGCTCTCCTCCGGTTTCATCTTAAAAAGCTCATACATGTGAATGAGTCAATTGATTTTTGACTCCTTCACTTGGCTTGTGCCTTCATGTGTTACCTCCAACATGTCCCACATCTTCTTAGTTGTATCACACCCGGAAACTCTATGGAATTCCATTGGATTGAGAGCACATTGAAGCATGTTGATTGCTTTGTTGTTGATCATGATCTTCACCAAGTCTTCATCATTCCATTCAACTTCTTCCTTTGGCACCTCACTTTCCCCAACTACTTTCATAGGCACTTATGGACCTTTCATAGTCACAATCCATGCCTTGGGCACATTTGCAAGCATGAAGACCTTCATCCTATTCTTCCAATAATTATAATTAGTACCATCAAAAAAAGGAGGCTTGGTGGTAGATAAAACTTCAAGTGGTTGAGAAGCTTAAAATTGAGCCATCCCCGATCAACTCCTAGCTGGTTAAACCTTCAAATTGGAGCTCTTGCTCCGATACCAATTGTTGACTCAATGTACTCCAAGAGGGGGGTGAATTGGAGTTCCAAAAATTCTCCCTTTTTTGCAACCACAAAACCAAAATTGAAGAGAGAGTAGGGAAGAAGAGCTTGCACAATGATTTTATAGAGGTTCGGTCCAACCACTTGGAACCTAGTCCTCTACCTTGGCTTCACTCACCAAGGATTTCCTCCACACTCTCCACTAACAAAATCAAGGGTGGCTTAAAGGAGCCACTCAATCCTTTTACAAGAAGAAGGGTGTTTCTCTCAAATCTCACCCCTTTACAAGATAAACCCCAAGAATCCTCTCTACATATCACTGTTGAAGGATTAATCACACCCCCAAGATCACTGACAAATAGAACAAGAAGAGGATTATAAGTAAAGATCTCTCAAAGATCAAAAACTCAAGTTAAAGCTCATGTAGGTAGGTAAAGATATTCAATACAATACTCTCTAAACTTTTTCAGATCTGTTACCAACCATATTTATAGGCCCTTGCTCGAAAATAGCCGTTTCTAACCGTTGGGGGTCATTAAATGCTTTGTAGGACGCAAAGCTCGAGTTGCAGGATTGTTAGGAAAGCCGACTTAGCTTTCTAGAGCCGGCTTTGCACAACCGGCTCACCATTTCTGCAGCCGACTTTGCAGGATTCTGCACATTCTGTTTTCTCCATAGAGTCGGCTGCAAAACGCAAAGCCAGCTTTGTGGGTTTGCTGCACATTCTGTTTTCTTCCACAGCTAGCTGCAAAAAACGTAGAGCCAACTTTGGTATTTTGACTTTAAAAAATATTAATTATTCTTCAAATAAGTCAACCATTCTGCATTAAATGCACTCTTACAGCCGGCTGCAAAGTTGGAGCCGGCTTTGCGTCTTTTCTCCGCGTGCGCCAAACAACGGACCTTTAAATCTTTACTCGTAGAGCAGGCTGCAGCTTCCAAAGCCAGCTCTTTGCACTTCCATTTCACCAGAGCCGGCTATAGCTTTCAAGAGCTGACTCTCTACACATACTCAAGCCTTTCTGGTCCATTTTTAGATGCAGTCCAAGTTTACTTATTTTGCAATCTTTTGGCATTTTAACTACACACTTAAATGAACCAATTAGTCACTCAAATGTGTTTTGTAATCATCAAAATCATAGGTACAATAAGATAAAGGTGTCTTAAACTAGAACAATTAGTATAAAACATGAGGTGGTGTTAGACACCTTAAAAATCCCTTCTAGACATTTCAAAATAAAAGGAGATTATTATGATGGGAAAGAATGGCATAACATTTTTATCCTAATAGATACAAAAGTAGGAGTAACATATATCCATAGTGATATGATCCCACACCTACTAAGATTTGAACTCATTAAGCTATACACATACTACAACTTTAATGGTGCAGTGACCACAGTACATGAATATGCTAAAGTACCTCTTAAAATAGAGGATAAAAATAAGATAGAACATGAAATCACTATAACAGCTCATGCTGAAACAGAAATGGCTGCCAATATAGAATTAATGCTAGGAAATACGTTCTTAACATCAGTACAGCCCTATAATATCCAAGAACATTGTTTAAAGATTACCTTGAGTGGAAAAAAAATAGTTATACCTCGATACTATGAAGACTAGTATCTATAGTGTATACATATCCATTGGAATCAAATATAAAGAATACAAAACATAATTCTTTCATGTTTTTATAGATATCGGGTCTGGGATATGTTTAGCCAAAACCAATGTATTCCCAAAATATTATTGGAGGAACACCTCTCAAACTATGAAAGCTGTAGCTATAGATGGAAGTATTTTTCAATATAAAACAATAATAGAAAGAGTTACTACCATAATTGGTGGAACTGAAGTTATAATTCCCCGAGTCTATGAAAGTAATGAGCATGGGAATGATATTAACTTAGGAAACAATTTCCTAAGTCAATTCAAGTAGTATGTTCAGACTGCATCATATGTAAAATTTTATACACTTTGTGGACATTGGTTTTACGCCTCCAGAATTTATAATGCTTATACTAGAGCAATAGAACCATTAAATTTTTGTAGCCAACGTGGTGAAGATAATACAAAAATTCAATCAAAAGAGATTAAAAAACCAATGTTAGCATTGTGGAATAATGAAAAAACACAAGAAAAAATAACTTTAGAATCTATCTTAGAAGAATTGAAAAGTAACTATGGAGAAGATCCTACAAAACTATGGGGAGTTGATAAAACTTATGCCATAATCGAATTGACAAATTCAAAAACTATCATTAGAGTCAAACCAATGAGATATAGCCCTGAAGATAAAAAAGAATTTGATAAGCAAATTCAAGAGTTAATGGCCCAGAAAATTACACAGGCCTCTAAGAGTCTGTATAGTAGTCCTGCCTTCATGGTAAGAAATCATAATGAATTAAAAAGAGGAAAAGCGAGAATGGTTGTCAACTATAAACAATTTAATAGCAAAACTAAATTTGATGGTTACTTTTTACCACATAAAGAAACTCTAATCAATAGCATCAGGGGAAAGAAAATGTATTCAAAGTTTGATTGCAAATCAGGATTTTGGCAAATTAAGCTAACTCCTGCCAGTATCTTACTAACAGCCTTTAGTGCCCCTACAGGACACTATGAGTGGTTAGTAATGCTTTTTGGATTAAAAAATGCACCTCAAATATTTCAAAGAAGGATGGATAATGTATTTTCTTCGATCAAGAAATTTTGCATAGTTTATGTAGATGGCATACTAATCTTCTCTGATAATGAGAAAGAACATTTATGTCATCTTAAAAATTTGCATATTTATGCAAGAAACATGGAATATTACTTTCTAAAAAGAAAGCAGAAATAGGAAAAACCAAAATTGAATTCCTTGCATTAACAATAGATTTCACGAGAGTAGAATTACAACCTCACATTAGCAAAAAGATTTCGATGTTCCCAGATAAATTAGAATCTAAAGAAAGGTTTCTAGGAATACTCAATTATGCAAAGCAGTTTATTCAAAACCTAATTCAATTAAGACATCCTTTGCAAAAGTTGCTAAGGAAAAAGGAAAGTCAACAATGGGAAATTTATCACACTAATTATGTGAAAAGAATAAAATAATATTATAAAAACCTTCCTAGGCTACAATTGCCTAAAGAAGATGAAGAGTTAATTTTAGAATGTGATGCCTCAGATTTTTATTAGGGAGCAGCTTTAAAAAATTATCAAGAAAAAGTTTGTAGATATGCTAGTGGCACATTTAAAGATGTAGAAACTAGATATCATTCAAATCATAAAGAGTTATTGGCTATTAAAAATGGAATAAAAAAGTTCAGTTTCTTTTTATTACCAAAACATTTTAAGGTCGGAATTGACAATACTCAAGTTAGCGGATTTATTTTTAATAAATTACCTTTAACACCAAAATATAAAAGATTAAATAGATGGCAAACTTTCTTTGTTGAATATGATTTTGAAATGTCAAAAGAACTAATAATTGTCTTGCAAATTTCTTGAGCAAAGAAGGAGCTAATGGATGCAATCTTGAAACTCCAAAATAAAGGGAAAGACCTTATTCTCAAAAGTCAAGAGATACTCATTGAGGGCAATAGCCAAATAAGAGAAGGCCAAGAAATAATTGATGAAGGCCATAGCCTTATGGATGAAGGCCAAGAAAAGATTATTAAAGGCCATGAGTTATTAAATAAGGGGCAAGATGCCCTTGAAGAGGTCAAAGAGCTGATAGAAAAATTAATGAGTTCCAAAGTAATTACTACTGTCAGAATTAGCTTTAAAGAATCTAGCTAGATGACAAAGAAAAGCTCCCAACAAGAGCTAAAAGAAAATTTTGAACAAGGTGATCCTTTAGTAGGATTACTTGGAGAAAATTCAGGGAAGTTTGATTATTATGTCAAATACTCTTCCTCAAAAATATCAACGTCTCAAGCTGAAAAGCTGGCTATTCAAAATGCCGAAAGCCATAACTTTTGACCTGATTACTCAAGAAAGAAAGAAAAGAAAGCTACAATAATAGACACCTTGTAAAAAATGACAATGAGTGAAGAATATCTGTAGGAATACTGTAGAGTTTGTAAAATGGCATATTCAATGAGGTCCACTGAGAATTGCCATCCTATCCATGAAGGGATTTATCCCAGAATTAATTTCATGTAGGGTGCAAACCTAAAAGCAATAAAAGAGTTATTCAATTACAATTTTGTAAACTGTATTTATCTCTTGAAGGATTATGAGGAAGTTTCAGAACTCCCAGAAATTATACGCCAAGGAGTGAAAGACTTCAAAACTGGCACCAAAGTTCAAGGGGTAGTATTTGTAAAAATTTACTTTGCAGCACCAAAATGGGAGAAATCTCAATATCTCCCCAGTCATCATATAGTTCAAATTGGAATCCAGTCTAAGAAGATCAAGGTCGAAGCGAATGAAGATCAAATTTTTCAAGACTTTGAAGAGTATCTTTGTGGAATCGAGTTCATCCAAGAGAGACGAGCTTTGGGATTCAAGGTTTTACTCCAGACCTTTGATAGAATGATAGAAATAAGGAAGACATGGACATATGGCTTCTCCAAAGAAATCTCGGTGGTATCCACTGGTGCAAGATTAATGACAAGCATCAGCCTGTTCAAAATAAAGCAGAAAAGAAAGGAAATCTTTGAAAATCTAGTCCTAGCCAGTAAACCAATCCATAATAGACTATGCAAGCTGTTAAAGCATGACAGTCATTGTGGTTTCTGCTACAAAAAAGAATCTACAAAAGGAAAAGCTGAAGCCCCATGTGACAAAGGGACCACCCCCTCAGACAATGAAGAGGATCTCATCATCCTCTAAAGAATCCAATGCAAAAAGATGTAAGCGTTTACGTCACTAAAGATAAAGAAGAGTGTCTACAAGATTCCA